CTGCAATTGCATGCTTTTAATTCATTAGTATTCATTTTAAGATTTATTTATGAAAGATTTATGAAAGATGTAAAAATATTTTTTTACAATGCATATTTCATTCACCACAAAATTGTGTGTGTGTGATTTGGACAGGTGGTTGGGGGAAAAATGACTGAGTCTGGTAGACTTTGTGCGTTCATCACTAAAGTAAGGAAAGGAAGTTTAGCAGACACTGTCGGACATCTTAGACCAGGTAACTATCAGATTTCTCTTAGACTCGCATTATAGAATATCAATTAAAAAAAAGAAAAGATAAACTGGCTGTGTTTAGAATCATGTGCAACAATACAAACTATTAGCAGGAGTAATATTGGAATGAAATTAATTTAATTTTTACATTTTGACATCTGGTTTATTTTATTGAAATCGTCATTATTTCTGAGTTAAGTTTTTAGTGTTAATAACTGTAAATTGTAAATAATCATTTTGTGTGTTCATTTTATTCCGTAGGTGATCAGGTCTTGGAGTGGAACGGGAGAAACTTACAAGGAGCCACATTTAAAGAAGTTTACAATATCATTTTAGAATCCAAGCCAGAGCCTCAGGTGGAACTGGTGGTGTCCCGGCCCATCGGGTAAAGACCTGGCCATGCCCTGTCTATCCCTATCATCCCTATCTTACAGTATACGAATGATCATAAATATGAATGTAATGCAGCACACGGTTTCCTTAATGACTGTGAGATTCGATTGTACAGGGTGTCTGAAAAGTCTCCGTACATAGGGAACTGTGTTTGCCAGCACCACGTCGGTTCTGCCTTCGTCACTGGACGTTCGTGGACGTCCACTTGTCGGTCTGCAACACTTCCAGTCTTTGTGAATTCGTTAATAATTTTGGCAGCAGTGTCATTTGTGATGTGCTCGCAATGTTTCCTGTTAAAGTGCACCTATTATGGTTTTTCCAATATTATCTTTCATATAGCGTGTTCTAAAGCTGTTTGTGAATGTCAAAAGTCTGCAAAGTTAAAAAAGTTATCGACTCCCAAAAGAAGACGCCGATTCGGAACAGCTGAAACGAGTCGTCAGTAATTCCAGACTTGCTTCCTGTACAAACCTACATAGGTTTGTAACAAAAAGCCCCGCCTCTGGTCTTCATCTGCTGCTCGCGATGAGATGGAGCTGAAAGTTGGAGCCTTTTCGAAACATGCTGATAGCGGTATACCAATCACAACAGACTGGGACGTCTGACCAATCAGAGCAGAGTATGCTCTCTGAAAGGAAGAGTTTAGAACGGATCATTGAACGAGTCGTTTTTGACACTGGGTTGGAAAAGTAATACTGCAGTTTAAATTATGAGCACGTCAAAGTGTTTTTTGACCTTGGATGCATGTAAATCTATTATATGAGACCTTTAAAACAAAATTGGGCACATTTCAAAATAGGTGCGCTTTAAAGTCCATCAGAGCCATGAGAATGATTTTAATACGTTCTTCTTTTGTCATTCAAGACATTCTTAAATGCTATCTGAAATTTATATATATATATATATATATAATTTCAACTAAGTATGAAAACCTTTGGAAGACATTTTGCTAAAAAAGTGTTCATTTCCACTGTGTATGGAGGATAACGCTTTATATTGAGATTTCCTGAACAATCAGTATTTATGGTATTGCTGAATTAAGCAATATCGTACTGTACAAGCAAGAGTGTGGTTATACGGGATAACGGCATGGCTGTAAGTCGCCGTAGCTAATCCCAACTGTGCTGATTGCGAGTGTGATATTGCTGTTCTATAAACAAGAAATGAATATTGAGTAACTGACTTTTCAGACGCAGTGTGGAAACAGATCCCTAAAAAAGACCACTCTCACTTTATAGCATGTTGACTAGCTAGCTCACATTGATTTGTCCATTCTGGTTAAAGTAATAGGCGTCCCTTCTTCCTTTTCACCTTCATCTGACAAGCTTTCATATTTTACGTCAAAAGTGATATTCCTGAAAAGTATCATGTGCATGTCCGCTGGTGATGTCACTAAAACTACTGTAGTAACCTTTTTATTTGGATCAGAACTCCCTGTTTATGTGTATGACATTATCTATAAGTGAACAGAAAGGATCATTCAATTGTTAATTGATATTATTTGTATGACAAAGAAAATTTTATCAGGAGGAGCCTAGACCTACTGTATGACTGTGATATTGTTGTCTTGGGAAAGTAAATATCTTGAATTAACATCGATGCACACTCATTACGCTTTTATTGGTCATTGTAGACGTTTATTTTTAGGGCGCTTAATGTAAAGTCTGTTCCCTTTTTACACCTATAATTTCACGTTGTTCACTAAGCAGTTTCTAGCGATATTTTGCTGATATTTTGTGCTTGAAAAAGCCATCTTTATTGTCTTATTTTATTATAGTTTTGTCCTATCAGAGAATATTTCCCCAAAGACCTGCTCATGCATTTAACTTCCGAAAGCAGCAGTAGTTTGGAAACCTTCACCCTGCTTTGTGCTAGTAAAAACCCAAAAAATCTCTTGGGGCGGGGGGAACCCCAGAAAAACCAAAGTAATTATGTGGGATCAGCTCCTTCTTTCCAAATTTTCCAAAGTGCAGACGATATTTGAGAACAAATTAAACTGATTTCAGAGTAGCGTATTGGTCCAGACTCTAATAGAGACTAATGTGATGCTTAGGGCCATTAAAAGCTCATTAAAAGGTCTTTCTCTCTCTCTCTCTCTCTCTCTCTCTCTCACTCTCTCTCTCTCTCAATCTCAATGCAGAGATATCCCCAGGATACCAGACAGCACACACACACAACTGGAGTCGAGTGAGTAGCCACCGTGTGGCCAGATGCGAGCAGTGCAGTTCTGAATAACTCCTGATCTTCTGAATATCATATCACATCTCTTTCTTACACCTCTATCACTTTCTCTGTCTTCTTTCCCTTGGTCCCTTCTGCCTTCATTAAATTCCACCCGAAGGTTCCAGCTCATTTGAGTCGCAGAAGATGGACCGGCCATCCATATCCATCACATCTCCCATGAGCCCCGGCATGCTGCGAGACGCACCGCAGTACTTATCCGGACAGCTCTCTGTGAGTTCCCACAATGCATCACTCGGTTTCTCAGAGGGAAAGACTGGTAAGGTGGCTGTTATTTTAACTGCCATCTTTAATATAACACCCGTATTTCTTACACTAACAGTAGGTCCACTTGACTTGAATACTGACAGACGTTTATAGGGCTGAAAATATCAATTTATTGAATTTGCTTGGGCAATTAATCTTTGCATGAATATCAGGATCGTGTAGAGATACAGAATATAGAAATCAATAAGACCTTGTAGGTAAGGAATAAAGCGCTTTAGGACGTGCTGTTCTAGGAAAATAATCAATGAGTTGTTCTCTTGTTTTATTCCTCTTATATCACAGCAAATGACTTTGTATTCATTTCTAGTTAATGTTATGTTGAGGAACATATGCAAAAATGTGTCAGTTACTGTTTTACTTACATTCTAGCAGCTTTAAACTGTCATTCACTCAATAGTATTTTTTCTCTCTCTTCTAATCTGTCTCTGTCGTCTCTGACATTGTGTTTCTATAGAAATTAGGACGTATTAGAATGAGCACTACAATGTGAACGTGAGATTTTAATTATAGCTGTGAGCCGCTGTCAGAGCTGCTGTTATAGACAATGAGTCAACACCTTCTAACCAATCAGAGTTGAGAATTCAGCAGCACTGTGGTATAATGAGATATTTAGCGAGAAAAAATAAAGAAATAAAAAAGCACTAGAGGAGATTTGTTTTAGATCCTGTTCCACCAAAACAGATAGTCTTCATAGCCATCCTTATGTTATTTCCCGTTCCACCCTTCGCGTTACGATACAATTTTTCATTTTATTCAGTAGCTACCTTAACAAAGAGAAATATAATGCCATTTAAAGGTCGCATTTTTTCGGCAGTCCTAAAAATGACTATTTGCAACATGAACTGAGATTCTCTTATGAACACACAGCATGTAAAAAACAACCCAACAACTTCCTGTTAGGGAGATTCTCAAAAGCATTGCACATTTTAACATCGTTCTCGTTCTACCATTTAAGAGTGGTCTTTGAGCTGTGAAGCTTTTGGGAAGCTCATAGATGTGGATGGAACTTCTTTATTTGTTGTTTTTAAATCAAATTGTATTGCTTTAAAATTCAGCTGAGATGGCCTGGATCAGCAGGACATCCATTGGTAGGTAGTGAACAGAACAAGCATGTTAAGTACTTAGCCATTGTTGGCAAACACTCTGAAGGTGAACAAAGGCGACTCAAACACAGATAAAGTTCTGGAACGGCTCCACAGTGCTCGCGTTCGGCCACAGAGCTGGAGCTCACCCAAAGGCGAAAACACCAGACCTGATCACGTTACACTCACTCACTGAGCTCTAATTGTCTAGCTGTAGCACATTCTAAAAGCAGAAGACTCGCCGATGTACGGTTTAAAGAATGGCATTCCGGATCTCGTATTTTGTTTGCTATTATTTGCTGAATCTGCAGCAGCACAACTCCAAATTCTATCATAATTCTATTCTATCATATTTCTATTATAAAATTCTATTCTTATAAATAAAGTGTTTACAATATGAACACTCTATAACTTAATTATTAGCAATTTAAACGCTATTTCTACAAATACACACAAGATACAGAGTGATACAGAGATACAGTGATACACACGTACAGAGATAAAGGGAATGTGATACCGATTAAAATAGACACTGATCGCTTTAGGACAATCAAGTGCAAATGTTTGCACACCCTTATGAGAAATTAAGGAAGAGGAATTATAAGATGAATTATATCAGTTATATATATTTAGTGTGTTAGGTTTCATTCATGGCTCCTTTATTACTATAAGTCAAATCAGGTCTGGAGATTAAGAGGCGTGAGAAAAAAATGCACCCACATATTTGGTAACATGTTGTACTTATGTAAAAAATAATAATAAAACAGAATAGAATAGATGTAGGGGGACACGGTGGATTAGTGGTTATAATCTTTACCTCGCATCTGCAGGGTTGGGGGTTCGAATCCCACCTCCGCCCTGTGTGCACGGAGCTTGCATAGTCTCCCATGTGCTTCAGGGGTTTCCTCTGGGTGCTCCGGTTTTCTCCCCCAGTCCAAAGACATGTCTTGTAGGTTGATTGGTTTCACTCAATTGTCTGTAGTGTGCTCGGCGATTGTGCTCTGCGATGGGTTAGCACCCTGTCCAGGGTGTCCCCCACCTTGTGCCCCGAGTTCCAGGCTCTCCTTGTGAACCTGTGTAGGATAAGTTGTTCATTAGAAAAAAACATGAGGGTACAAAATTTTGCACTCGGCTATATTTCAGGTGGAAATGAACGAAACTTTGAAAAGGCTGATTTTTAAAAACGATTTCTACTATCCAATAAATAGGTGAGCGTTAATCATTTCATGTTGGAGTAATCATTTTAGTACTGTTCCACTCTGAATTAAAGTTACCAAACGGGTTGTTTATGATCAACTTCCACATAATATTTAACCTTCTGCTACATCTTCTCAAAAATCTTCATTGTCTTTAACTCTCTGAGATGTGGATATGTGTGTATGCATTGAGTAACACAATCTGGTGTGTTTTTATGTGTGTGTCGTTCGCTCAGGTGGAGATTTAGTTTAAATAGAAGCTCAGACTTCTGAATTCTCTCCAGTCCTAGGATGATCCATGTGACAAATTCAACCAAAGAAAAATCAGGCTTCTTTATTTATTTAATTGTTTTTTATTTTATTTTAATGAGATACCAAACACCAGGATCTGAGATGATCATAATTTGTTGTGAATAAGCGGTCGAAAGACAAGCCGCGGGAACTATATTTAGCATTTCGCAACCTAACATTTACACAAAGGATTCTTTATGGGAAAGAATCGACTAAATGAAAATGACTCGGATGAAAGAAAGTAAATGAGAAGCTAATTATTCGCATTCAGAAGATGTTCCGGCTGATTGTCTATGGTTATTTTCTATGACTTCAGCCTGAACTTTCTCTTAAAAAAAGAAAGAGAAATTGCGCAGTAACCTGCAGTGTTTAGACTGAATCTCTCCCTGAGCTCCTCTAACACTGGTGCTGTCATTCTGGGTTTAGTTTCATTGCATTGTTCCTTTGTTTTGTTCTTGTCATTAACTTTGCTTACCCAGAGCCAAAGCCTTAGTAGGAGAATAGAGCCTTTTAACCCTAGGGTTCAGGTAATTCACACTATATTCCACAAAGACACTCATCCCTGTGCCCCTTATCCCCTTATATACCTCCCGCTTCTACTAAAAGCACAGCAAGGAAATGGCTGCGTTCTCTGTTTATTTCCTTTTGCTTGTGTAATTTTAGTATTGCTTTTATTTCCTTTCTACCCTGTTTTTATCTTGAAATGAGTTTGCAAGAAACTTTGAATGATTTGCATGATCAAAATGGAAAAAGGAGAAGTATTTTAAGAGACAATTATTGCGTAAGATTCCGTAATTACTCATCATATTCCACCAATGTGTAAGGAGTAACACACTTCAGGCTGTGCGATTATAGGAAAATAATCCACGCCATACTTTCTTATAACAACACAGCCTCTTTTTTATTGCTCTTATATCCCAGCAATTAAATTTAGAGTTTATTATTGAAGGTCATGTCGTGCTTTTAGTTACATTTAACGTCGTTTCATCACCGGCTTCGCTTTTTTCTCACTCTCGAATAAAAAACAATGCAAGTTGTTAACTGTTACAAAGCACTGGTGCTGGAGACTCCTTCCATAAATATTTAATCAACATCACCTCAGTGAAAACTTCACCATATCAACCAGTATTTTTTGTCTTTGAAATAATACATAACAACGCATTAATATAAACCTATTCTTCATGTCACAGCTGGAACTAACTATCAGAGCTGTGCTGTTCATGAAAAGGAATCAACGCCTGGTGATTTGAGAATTTAGCCATGCTGTGGTATAAAAGAGAACTAATATTTTGAGTAATTTGATATGTTCCATTAGGAAATGAAAGATTGTGACTCGAAATGTAGTGCGGTTTACAAGGAAACAAGTTGAATTCGTTCTTTCCGTGACCTGTAATTTCCTGTCAGATTCAGCGCCTCTCCTCTTCAACTACTTCATTTTTAAGTGGTTAATTAGTTGATTTTGAAGTTAGAGGTTAAAATAATAATAATAATAATAAAAAAAAGTAACATTACAGTACCACTAGAATTAGATCAGATGCAAACAGTACACTTCTTAACTATGTATGTGCATTGGGGTCGGAGACCACATTGAAAATCTAACATTTTGTTTTTTCCATTTAAACCTGGAAATTTACAGAAAGTTTTAGAATTTTCGAATATAAAAAAAAAACAAAAAAAAACAAAAAAAAAAACAAAGTAAATGTTTGATATCTTGAATATTTAATATTCAAGATTCTACATTATTTATAAGTGGCTCTTTAAATGTAAGCAAATGTGTGTTATTGATTGTAGGGAATAGAGAATAGAGAGTTTCCAACATTGACTGTGTTAACTGCTTGTTACAAAAGGTCCGATTTTTGTCATGGCTTATCTCTTCAATCCGAGCACGTGTTCAGATGACACTGATGGATTTGGTCTAAAAAAATGGATCATAAGGTTCTGCACAAACTTGTGGAGCCCGTGCCAGCTCGAGTGTACACTGTCATTAAAGCAAAAAGGGGACGTATCAAATACTAAGAAACTCTGAAATTCATGTAAATATTTCAATAATTCAGTAATATAATTTATAATGAAAATTATATATTAGAAAAGAATGCAAAGTAGAAGTATTGTCATTAGTGCACTCAGACTTTTTTTTTTTTTATCTCTCTTTTAGACCTCAATCCACAGTGGGGGAAATAAGTATTGAATGTGTCAACATTTTTTTGACACATTTTGAAACATGTTTCTTGTGTGACACCTTGGTAACAAAAAGCCTTTTTTATAGACCAGGAATTTACTAACCCAACTCATATTAATTTGCACAGATAGGAGGTATAATTAATTATGTATTTCAGCTGGTTTCTTGCCTTACCTTGCCTTGGAGAATTGCTTTTTCTTACTGTGTTCAATACTTTTTTTTCCCCATGCCTTTCCGCTTTATTACACATAACTTTATTTATGGACTTTAATATTGTGAATTCTTTATATTTCCAGATTTCTTGAGTTAATACTGGTGAAAATTTCATGTGAAAAGCCTCACTGGAAATATATTTACTGAAAAAAAATAGTTGGTGTGCTCAATACTTATTTCCCCCCACTGTATATGGCTTTTATCCAAGTTGATTTAAGAAGTGATGTTGAATCCAATCCAAGAGTTCGACTTGAGCAGTTGATAGAACTGCACAGTGACTCTCTGATACTTCTCAGATTTGAGCTTACAACATTCTGGTCAGAGCACAGAGCTACATCCCACGGCATTTCTTTCTAGCAGATTATGCTGTATTAACATTAAACAGGGATGCTTAAATGAGGATTCTTAAAACATATTGTTTTAGATTCTTAGCAACTAATAGACAACTGTGCAAAACAACAACAAAAAAAATGCAATTATCCAAAGGCAGAAAGTTTGAGAAAATTGTTTAGAAACTTTAGAATCCAAGATAAATTAGGAGTGTTAAGAAAAATAGGAGGGGAATTGTGGCTTAGTGCTTAGCACGTTTGCCTCACACCTTTGGGGCTCGAATCCTGCCTCCACCCTGTGTGCACAGAGTTTATGTGTTCTACCTGTGCTTCAGGGGTTTCCTCCGGGTACTCCTCATTTCTCCCCCAGTCCAAAGACATGCGCTGTAGGCTGATTGGCATTTCCAGATTGTCCGTAGTGTGGGAATGTTTGTGAAATTGTGTCCTGTGATGGTTTGGCATCCTGTCCATGGGGTCCTCTGCCAGTTCCCTGGGATAGGCTCCAGGCTTCCCTGCGACCGTGTATAGGATAAGCGGTATGGATGGATGGATGAAGGAAAACTAGGGAGAAAGTAGAACTTAGGGGTAACTGTGAGAAGCAAGGAGAATAAGACGAACAAGGAAGTGAGAAACCATAAATCCTGCTGTCTTGAAGCCTTTCCCATAGTGGAAAACCTCTGTTACAAAGCTCTGTCACTTGACACTCTTTTAAAAAAAATGCCAAATAACCATTTCCTTACAGATAAAATTCACCATATCAACATCAGGAACTTTTATTATTATTATTATTATTATTATTATTATTATTATTATTATCATTATTATTATTATTATTACTACTGTAATTTGAAATAGCTGGCACTGTTATAGAACATCCATCAACATCTTCTGACCAAACATCATCAAGAATTCAGCAGTGCTGTGGGAAAAGTGTGTTTATATGAGCCAAGCCAAGAAAATGCAGAACAGATGATAAAACCAAGAAGATGCAACAAAGGAATGCACATTTGGGGCCTTTGGGGCCAATTAGCATACTCTAGCTGCGTCGTTATACCTGACATAACTACACCGGCCTCCATCAGTATGAATTATATTTGACTTTTTACTTTCTTAAGCATAAGCTGTGCACTCTGAATGTTCAGCATAAAAACACAACCAAGCTATTTAGTCAATTCATAGTGTCACATATAGACTATAATTTTGTTCAGACTCTGTGAAAAATGAACTGTCTCTTCAATTTGAATAATAATTAATAATAATATTATCAGTGGTGCAGTAGTTAATTTGGTGAAAATCCCTTCATGTATGGCTTCATGTGCTCCTCTGATTAGGCTTTTATTTCTTACAAATGATTAAAACACTTCCCGCTTGTAGAGTGAAATCTTGATATGATTGAAATCTTTGTGTGTATGTTATTTTTCTTGGTTTTTTTTCACTCTCTTGCCTGACCTCTGTGTGTTTGTCTACTGCATGAGAAATCAATTTCTGCTGTATGCTCATTCCCTTGCCTATCAATCTGTTAATTTCTTACTCATTAAAGCTCATTACAGATATATGCGCCTAGCACATATAGCAGCTAAGTGATATATCATGATAAGAAATCATTATATTTAGAATTTACACTTCACCAGTATAGTTACTTCATACTTAA